ACAGCTGTCTCCGTCAGCGATGTTCGCTTTGGTGAAAAAATATGTTTTGCATTTTGAAAATGACCATTCGACATCTACGGATGTAATACAGGCATAAGTAAAACAATCTGTGAACTCACTTAACGAAGTTGTAGATGCACCATCACAAATTTGTGTTAATTTGCTAAAATCAGGATCTTTCTGTAATACACTCTCAAATTTTTCACTAACGCGATTATTTTTTGCGTCATTTATAGCCTGTAGCTGTGTATTTACGTCGTCCACTATTTGCAGCGATTCCACTAACGACAACGAACTATTTTGCAATTTTTCTATTGCGTCGTGTAGTCCTCTATAATTGTTATTAATAGTTTTTAAATCTGTTTCAAGGGAAACGTCTTGAAAGCTTGTCTGGTTTTCCCTAATAGCTGCAGACTCGTTAGGGTTGAACTGTAGTATCACAGCTTTTATTTGTTGAAAATATTCAGCATAATAAAAAGCCGCTTTCAACCACGTTCTCCAACGTGTAAGAATCGGCTCTGGTGGTTCAGGGATACCAGGACACTGTCTGTGAAATGCTCGAAGCCGTTTAGGAGATTTGAGAAAAACTTTTTTTGTATTTGCTATTAATGCATCTACCTCTGGAAAACATTTTCGAATCGTTTCTGCCACAAGATGTAACGCATGCACTTTACACGTAACATGTAAAAACCTACAATTGTCTCTTTGAAAACAACGGCCTACCATGCGCATTGTCGCAGCACCATCAGTCACAAACATCAATAGTTGACTTGTTGAAAGTTAAAATTTTTCGAATGTTCCAACACCCCGTAATTATTTCGCCAGTACACGCAGTTAGTCTTTTACTAGCTAGTAAAAGTGGAAATGTTAGTTTAAGAGGGCCCAGTACACGTACTATAATATTTAAAATAGAATTTTTTTTACAATCTGTCGTCTCGTCAATACATAACCAGAGCCGTGTATTTTTTAATCCACATTTAATCCTATTTACAATGTCTTCACGAACAGCTGGAATATATCTACGTAACGATGTACGACTTGGTAAGTTCACCTGGGGATTGTATTTATTCCAAAACTTCCGAAATGGTTGTTTATCCAGTATGTGTAGCGGAATATTACAGGCTATTAACATTAACAATAAATCAAACATAAACTGAGTTGTCAAAGGCATGCCATTTTTTTTATTTTGATGTTGCACGGTGTTGATGACGACGACAATCTGTTTTGTGCCAGCACATTAAGTCTTGATTACAAACTTTACAAATTATTTTACATCCGTCATAGAATAAATCCGGAAATTCACCGATAAATTTATTCACTGTGTCCGCATACGGTCGTTTTTTACCCTTTGGCGCGTTTGACATTATGTATAATTTATAGGTACAACCTCACGCATTAACCTTTCAAATAAGACTGCAGCGTAAATCACTTCTAAATCGGCACGTGTGACGCCATCGCAAGACCGTGGCTGTACTCCAGTCACCTCGGACAGCTCTAGTAATTAGTCTCTTGCTTGCTGGATATTATAAACAATTAAATAAACAGAATATTACCATTAGTGACAAAACTTTTATGTAGTTACATAAGCTGAGTTTATTTAATTACATACACATTTTATTCCTTGAACATCTTAAGAAATTTTATAAATTCACCGCCAATGAAACACAGTCTTGTTAAATTGTTAATGACGCTTAATGGCCTGGAAAAAAATCTAAGCATAAGACTTTAGACAAAAATCTGCGATTTTTAAGTAACGCATACCTAATTAATTTTTGTTCATACAGTTTTTCGTGGGCAAATTAAATGAATCCTAAAACTTCACTTTTAACCGCCAAAACTTGAAAGGAAAGAAACGAGAAAGATTGTTCTCATTAAAAATTCATTATACTTTATGTTAATTTTTAAAAGAAGAAAACATCTGCTCCTTTGAGGTTTAAGATCATTAGGTCCATAATTTTGTTTTTATTTCACTGTTGGCATCATAGCTCAGTTTAATATGTAGGTACTTTAAGTGATTTAAAAATATTATTATTTCAAGAAGCAATCAATTATTTTAAATTATAGTTATGAAATCGCATGCATAGGTGCACTCCCAGGTAATAAAGTTATGTATTTAAATGTTTATAAAATATATGGATTGATGGATATTATAAAAAAAAAATTATCATTTCAGATTTATGGCGAATATAAAAATTTTTTACATAGCAATACTGAAATATTCCAATTGTAGTTTAAATTTGGGGAAAGTGACTTCATTTTCACAAAAATTTTATTTTATTTTGAAAAAGTAATTTTGTTTTCAAGAATTGTTTCGAATTCGAATAAAGTAATTTCCATTTTGGAAAAAATCTCATTTTTGTAAATTGTGGACTTTAGAAAACACCAAGAGTCAAAAATTATTCTTAATTGAATTTAGTTATGTTTTAAAATTATATTTAATTAAATTATAAATTTAATAAATGAAAATACATTTCTCAAAAAACTTCAATTTTCTAATAATTTTCTTTTGCACTTTTCTGAAATGTATGATGAGGTTTATTTGTTTATATATTTAATTTAATTTTGCAATGAAAATGAAAATAGACATGCAAGAAATAACTATTTGTTAAATACTAAAATACATTTCAAATGCATGATTTTTATTACATCTTCGAAATTTCCATTATCACTTTCAGAATTATCATTATCATCCTCGGTAACGTACGATTCGATTACATCTAGGCCTTGTGGATCGTAAAGTTCATTACGGTTGATGCAATTTTAACAATCCCTACGAGCACATATTCCACACATTATATAGCATCACAATTCAGCCTTTCTGCAACCACAGGTCGGTCTACAACTACAGGTTGCTCAACAACCACAGATTGGTCCACAACCACAGGTTAGTCCACAACCACAAGTTGATCCACAACTATTTGAGCATTTGCAATTTGCAAACAATTTCTAGAACATCGTCTGATACTGTATTGCTTTCCAAGAGTGTTGGGATTAAACTATTATTTGTCCTATCCCACCCCCAAATGCTGCTAAATATTGGTCGAAGTAAATACAACATTAAACATACATATAAACGGTCTTTGCTCTACCAACAATACATAGCATATGATAATTTGTATCAGCTTTCGTTTCTTTGATATATTACTGATTATGAACGAGAAAAACACAATTTAACTAGTCCTAAGGAAGCTAATAAATACAGCGAAACGTCGACGAAATTAAAACAGTACTTTTTCTGTTTTGATTGACCTACATATATCCACTAATTTGTAATATTTATTACTATCTTGTAAATTAACTTTTACCCTTTCTGTTGGAATACATTGGTATTATAATTTTTATTATAACTTTATTAGTAAACAAAATTTTGTTAATAAATGACTTTTTCAAAATTTTCAGGTAACATTTTAACGCACGAGATATAAATCAAATTTTGATTTTTTTGGGAGGAACATTTAGGTCTGAAAAAGTTAATATTAAAGTGGTGATTTTATCAGGTAACCAACATAAATCTGTAAATCGGTCTTAAGCTTATACATAATATTCAAAAATAAAAACTATTATCTCATTTTAAATCATATACAGATTGTTTTTAGTAACATTTACAAATAAATGATAGAACATTTTGATTAACCAAAGTGATTATATTTTTTTGGATTGAATTTAATTTCATTCATGGGCACATTTCTAAATTGAGCAATATTTTTTAAATCTAAATCCAAAACGATAAACAGCACAATCACTCACAACTGTTGACTGAACCAAAACTGGTAAATAAGATACATTTAAGTCCATGAAATGCCTAAACCGTATCATAAAACATGTCTTATAGCTTGTGGCATTGAAAACATATCACAGAAAATTTTGCTGTTGCTTTATCGTTTTTTCAAGACGCTATTTTCTCTTTTCCTAACTTAACTGGATTTGTGGAACAGATATCTTTTATTTCGATTGAATTAAGAAATTAATTAACTGACTTTAAGGCCTTATTCTAGATTTCGTGATGGCATGCGATTTTCACTAATTTGATTTTAAAAGTAAACAATATTATTTACACTATGACGGACAAGAGATGTGAGGTATTTTAAGTATATTTTCGGTCAATTCGCCCCTAAAATCTAATTGTTTACTAAAACAACGCCTACTAGGAACTCTATTGAAAGTCTAAAACTATTTTTTCCACTATAATAGGTAAAATCAACCCTTCTTAATATTTTCGTAGAAACTTGTCGGTAACACGATCAGGACCAGAATCACCTGGCTGTTCAACTTAATAAGAATAGACAGCACCGATGATGCACTTGTCACTAAAGAAGGTGTTATAAATCAAGCAGAACAGATGGACACACTACCTTAACCAAACGAATTATACAGGGCGTTCTGATGGCTCCCTGCCAGTATTGATTGCTGACAGAACAAATTCACCTTTAAATTATTGTTCTAATTAAGATTTATACCCTGCATATATTTATACACAAAACAAATTAAATATTTAAATCATTATTTTGTTTTAAAATATTTTTTGAAGGTGCAGTTTACTCGTAAAAGTACCAATGAAAAATGGTTTATTTACGTTTTATTGACCGATTACCCAAAGTTTTCATTTTTGTAAAATAACACTACTGAATATCTATATTGTGCTGACTAATTTTAGAATTCCGAATCCAGAATTAACCATAAAAAGACGCAATTAGGTATGGTAAATTCACATGTCATTATTAACTTATTGTAACTTAAGTTAAATTAACTTAAGGTCTCTAAAAAAATGTTGACGCTCATGCAGACTAATAATTTAATTTGCGCATGCCCCATGCATCGGAACCTAGGCGATAGTCAAAATTAGTTAAAAGTGAATTAAGAACCACAGGTATTACAACCCCCTGTATGCCTGAAGATACTTCGAGGTACCTTGTGCGGGAGAGAGCTACACATTTAGAGACAATGGAGACACACTCAATGTTCGAGTATGCTACAATTAATTTCTGGTTTAGAAAAAATCCTAGTTCCTCGACCGGAGTTTGAACCAGGGACTTCAGGGTGAGACGCAAATGTCCTTACCACTCGACTACGAGGCCACACTAGATAAATCATTAAAATAATTAAAATGAAATTAAATTAATTTTAATAAGTCGACTGTAACTACGCTGACAATTTTACAATGAGGTTCATTCACTGTTTTAGCGGTGAATAATATTTTTTGAGAAGTGCGGTTTAACACGTGCGAATGCAAATGACGTACACAAATAAACTCATTGTTTATGCAGACAATAATCTGGAAATTTTTCCGATTTTTCATGTCGTGGGACTAGGAATCATTAACATCGCAGATATATGAAGTCCATAGTTATGCATCGCTTTCAAAAGATGGTGACGTAAGAAGATCCGCAAATTCAACAGACCTCGTCCGATCCTGATTTGAACCCCAATCATCTGGGTGGATGGTCACATCACTGCACAGTCAGCTATATTACCGAACTGATTAGACTTAAAATTTTTACGTCAATGATTTTGGTAAATACATAAAATCCAATAAAATTAATATGAAAAGTGGAGTATCACAACAAAAATATTGGTGTAGCTTGCCCCAGAAAATCATTTTATGGATTTTTTCTGGAGACAGACCGCACCTCCTCCCCTTCAAAAATGAACTCTATGAAAAGAGATATAATAATTGACAGTACAACACAAAAATGTAAAATCACATACCTGGAAAAACTCACAAATACAGTTTAGAAAATGGCGTTAAGATACAAAGAATATAAATAACAATGAAAAATAATACTTAAACCACCTATTTTATAAATACCATTAATTTTAATGTCGTTTAAAAAAAACTAGTTTACTTAAAAATAACTCTTGTTAGGCGAATCATAACCGAGATCACAACAAATAAATTACATTTTATGAAAGAAACAATCTGCGATATATTTTAACTTCTGAAATTATTCATGCTAAATGTTTTATTAACTTAATGAAAAATCAATTAATAAATAAATAAACATTCTTCAAACCAGCACTAATGAATTTCATTCGATATTGTTGTTGTTGATTTCGATAATTAATCAACCGTGATTTAATTTTAAACTTATTTTATGTTAGATGTTAATTTGCAGTGGAACAATAAAATTCCTCATATAAGTTTATTACAATACACCTAACACACACAGTATTAAGTTTTATGGTAACCAATTACTCATAGTAAGGCTCAAGAATACTAGAGATGCAAATATAAGCATGGGAATGCAAGCAAAGTGTTTAATTTATTTAAATAAAATAATTTATTTTTATTATGGGTTATTAACTTTAAACTAAAACAAGGCAAAATTTTCGGAAATATTCCCATAGGAACGATTTTAGGCGTAGATCTTTATTTTGGCGTTAGGAACAACATTTCAAAAGTTCTATTGGATCAAAGCGTGCTTCCTGTGCAGCACGTTGAAGAATGTCCAAAACATGGGTATTGGCAGATATCTCCACAAATATGATTCCATAAAAAGCAATTAACTGATCTACTAACAAGGTTCCATGGAATTTTTCCATAGAGACGATAGTTTTGACATAGCAATGGTCCTAAGTACATGAAACAAATTCTACCACTTGTATTATACTGAAAGAATTTTCTACTAACCATAAATAAAAATTCGCTAGCCCCAAAGAAATATCCGCATTAAATAGACTCCAAATAGACTGCTTTGCAACAAAAACGATTTTGCTAAGACACACTTATTTTATCGTTAAAAAAAGTTTTTCTAAATATTTCTTTGTTGCTATTAGGAGTCAGATCCCTATTTTAACCTTCATAGGTTTTTACTTTCTTATGCCTAATATAAGGAAGTGTAGTAGTCGTGATTTTTTTTCGACTGTCCGCATGTCTGTAGTAACAGAGCAGCCACAGTTTTTGAGATACAGCTTTCAAATTTGGTACACTTGTTCTAGAGGGCAAAGAAATTGAAAAATTAAGTGATGAGCAAAATTGGTCTTCTGAAAAGGGGTCCATGGGACCCAAACTTTTTTGTATTTGACTTTACAAATATATTCTTGATGAAAGATTATAAATCATGTCTATTATATGGAGCGAATAAAATATATTTTCTAAGTACTTAAATAAAGCTTATATAAACTGAAATATTTTACACATTTGGCCTCATAAAATGGGGTTAGGATAAATTTATCAGTTTGAAAGGTCTAATTAAGTAACAAAAATGTCAATGTCAATAACAAAAACTTATTAAAATGTATGACATGAATTATTATTAACAGTATCGAATGACACTGATAATTAATTATTTAAAAATTTTAATGACACATTTCAAGGTACGCTATTAAAATTTAATTGAAGTAAATGAAGAATTAAATAGAATGATTCTTTTAGATTAGGATAATATATATTGGTATAAGAAAGTTATGTGCTGGTCACATCAGATATTTTGTTATAGTTAGTAAGCTCGTACTTTTTACATCATTACTAACTTACAACCCGGAAAAGGCTTTTCCTACCGCTAATAGATGACTTTGTAACCACGATAAAGCTTACACTGTATAAATAAATACCTAGTAATGACAGCAAATACTCCTTTTTGTCCTGGTAATTTCACTTTGTAAACGTTGTAAAAATATATACTGGATCTAGCGTAATTTTATTCCTGCCATTAGAAAAAAATTGCTACCATAGAAAGAATTTTTGCAAGTTGTAGAGTATTCTGTGTGTACATATAAGGGTGATTGGTGGTAGGTCGAGGTATTCTTTTGAAAGCGTGTTAGTAGCTAGCTAATTTGCAGTTGATTTAACCATAATGTCCATTATGCAACAGTCGATAGTTTTTGAGATATTTTAATTTATCTGTTTTTTTTTAATTATTTAAAATAAACAAAAATAAAACGTTTTTAATATATCAGTTTCCCGCATTAGTTACACAGTACAAATTGTGTAAGAAAAATTATGTTAAATACTTTGATAAGATAAAAATACAAGAGCTAAATCCTTTATTTGTTGTAAAAAACTATATTAAAATATCTCAAAAACTATTGGGTTTGGCATTATTCATATTATAGTTAATTCAATTGCAAATGAACTCTACTAACATGCCCTCAAAGGAATACGTCGATCTACCAGTCACCCTGTATATATAGGGTGATTCAGTTTTATTACTAATAACTTTAACAACTATTATATGTCAACAAATTAAAGTTATTTTTTATATAGTAGAGTATAAAGTTTTCATTAGGGTTTTTGTTTTCGAGATAAAAGATGTTGAAAAATATTTGTCTTTTTTCTCTGAAACTAAAAATTATTAGTTAATATTTATATTTGATATTAAATACCAGTATGTTAGGTTGCATCTATTTGACTAACTCGTATTTCCTACACGGTAACTAAAATATCTTGGGGTAAATTATCATATTTTCAAACACCCAAAAAAACTACTTTTTTTGATACCCTTTATTTCAAAAACGATAGGCTCTACGGAAAAGTTATACCACAAAATACTTGAAATCAGGGGTGAGTAAGAGGATCAGGTGAATAATAAATGTAGACTGTTTTCTCTAGACAAAATTTACTATGTTATATAACAGGTTCAGGTACATTCATATAATGCCATAAAACGGAACTTCTTATGGTTAAAGCTTTTCACCAATTTCTAATAAAATCTTCTACAGCTTTCCACTCGTCGAAATTTATAGATCCAGTGCTAATTGCTGGCTCCAACCTGGCATTAACACTTTCCAAGGATCGTCAGCTCCTCAGCATAAATTTCTGTCTACAAAAAACTCTGCTTTTTCTTCCTCGCGTCTCCTTATTTGTTGACGTTGTTATATTATTATGGTCTTTAAGGCCCCAATTTTCTAATCTCAACTTGTAAGACAGTTTCATAAAAACCTTTCACTATGGAAAAATAATATGACTGCGAGTATCTAATAACGTTTTATTTTATAAATGCACGAAGTAGTTACTCTTCCAGTAAACGTTATTTGGAGAACAAATCCTACCTCCTGACAACAAAGATCAACTCTAATATTCTTAATGGGTTCAAACTGTCTACGCGTGCGTCGCCTACAAACAAAATGTCGAATTAGCAAGTGCAGATTTATGGTTAACAGATAGCTTACCAACCGTAGGTATGTGCTTCTTAACCACAAGAAAGTCAATCTCAACTAAAGGCACTTATTTACCTTAAGAAAATACTTAGTTATACTTAATAAAAAAAAACATAAAGAAAAATATTTGAGTTAGTTTAAGTAAGTGCTGTTATTGAGATAATTAGTCAAAGGTTTAAGGTTGCAAAGGCTTATTAGTAAAACAGTTTTTCTTATTCTTAGACGATGGTAATGTAGTCTTAACAAAAAAAAATACTTATGAAAATGCAGATCATCTTAGCAAAACATTTTATTTGGTCAATTTCCCTCAGTATGTAGTATAGCTCCCTAGTAGCTCTTTTCGTTAGTGGCAGCGACGCTAAGTTACCTGCTCTACTTTCTCTAACAGATATTGTGAAACATTTGAAACAGTATGCGTCCAGAGATGTTTCAGATGCCGATTCACTATACAGGGCTACCGGAATATTTCTCCATATCTCTTAGTCACTCGTTGCACACAAAGTAAACAACTTTAATTTATTTTTATCACAATCGCACTTGAAAAACCCCTTTGTACAATCAAAGGCTACGAAACACTACGATTCCAAGATGTCAACGCGCAGTCTCTTTCATAACGGAGAGCCTTAACTGCCATCTATAGGCCGCCCAAGACATATCAAACGCATAGAAACATTGAGCAGATAAACTTTTTTCTTAAATTTGCTGCGTCAAAACTATTGCATCTGCCAAAAAATGTTATCGTACCTCTTTTGTAGAAAATTTATTTGCCTTCATTTGTGCAGTAAATATTTTTACCGTAAAAAAAATATTTATGTGCTTTGTACATGCTTCGATGTGTATCGTGGCGAGCATCACTCAGATTCAATAGGACTTTTGATATGTTGTTTCTAACACCAAAAATAAATATGGATCAAAAATCATCTCGCTGGGAATTTTTCTGCAAAAAAAATTTATAGTGACTAACCTATTAATAGTTGGT